AAAATACAAAACAATGACAAACCATAAAACAGTTATATATTGACATAACTTTCCACTTCACACAACGCGGTATGATTTCACAAGCATGTGTCTATACACTGTTTAACCTCATCCAGCTAGAAGAAGCGTAATAGTCGATGCACTGACGTAAATTTAACAATCATAACAGATTATACACCGACAGGTGACGCTCCACCATTATAAGACGAGTATTTCACGTTAAAAATGAAAACATAATCATTATGAAAAAGAATAAGTCCTTTAATACAACAAATTTTCCCTACTACGCAAAAGGACCATAAAGGCTATAAAACATAATAATATATAAAATATATTATTATAACCGTTACTACTAGATGCATAAGGTATATTAAGCGCTTTCCAGTTGAATAACGTGTATGAAGATGAGTGTATTTTTTTTAACAAAAGTTGTATATTTGTTACAAAAGTTTTAATATGCACTATACACGTTATTCTAGAGAAACAATTTAATAAGCCCATTTCTTTCAGTGTAACTACAATTTTCATATTTTCACGTTTTGAAAAGCTGAATTATAAAAATACTTTGCATGTTTCAGCTTTACACGGATAACTTCTTTTTATTGGATATATACAATTCAGCAAGATATTTTTCAGAGACAGGAAATAGTCCTACATACTTTTATAGGTTCTCCTTAGATACTGCGTTGAACTTCATGAAATCTTTGTATGACATAGAAGAGCCAGGTAATATTAATAGTAACATTAATAAAATTGTGTTAAAGTTAAAAGTACCTTAGGTTTGTAGTTTTATTTGAATAGTGTAATATGAAAATTCATAATAAATTCCACTAAATTCCCATTGATCCATATAGCGAATACATAATGCATTAACGCTTAAAATCTAATTTTAGAAAGGGGGTATCTTTGAACCATGAACACCATTGCACCCGCGAATTAAACCAAACCTACCAGACTTTATGTTTTTGAATGTTCTCTTTCAGCGGGTGGCCATAGAATTTGAAAACAAAATCATTCAGACCATGAAAACGGACATTCAAGTTAAAAGACATCATGATTTTTTCCCGTTGTCAATCTTTATACCGTGTTTCGAAGACTTTATCGCTAAGATACATACCGAAAACCAATGGGAACAGTCCATAATATATCTCTTAACTTAAAAGATCCATGATTGATTTACTCACTTGATACAAACAGTATGGCTGCTGAACCGGAAAATGGTACCATCAGAGTTTTATGACGGTTTTACTCGAAAAAGGCGTTTTTTCGTGAAAAATCTCGAGATATAATAAATGGTCAAAGAACACGTAGGAATTCTCAGAATTTTTTGAGACATTTTTTCAAATTTTCGTCTTGGCCAATTTTTACCAAATTGATAAAGTCTAAAGAAAAAAAAACGACCAAAATTCCTGAACCTTCCTCTTTTGATTCTGAATACTTTTGTCACTTTCATCTCCCGAACACTGTCATCTGTCACTGTCAAAAAATTCCACTTGAAAGTCCGTTTATGTGGTCTGAATAATTTTTTTTAATGCTGTGTAGACCATCTAAAAGAGCATCCCAAAAAATATAAAGGCTAGTAGGTTTAATTTGTTTCCTCGCCTGGGTGCAATGGTGTTCGTGGTTAAAAAACACCCCCTCTAAAATCTAATTTTGAACGTTATTGTCTCCACGGCACTCTCAATTAATAAGTAAAATGTATTTTGCTCTAGAATTGTAATTTTTCCAACTAATTTAAGTGCGAGCAATTAATTGAGTTATGAATTAAGAGCTCTGTTCAACTATGAGAAATTACAATATGGTGCCCATAACAGTAAAAAAGTTAGCAATCAATTATTCAAAATGGCATTTGCTACAATAAAAATATTGATCGCAATAATCTTTAAAAAATGAAATAGTTGCTGCAACAGTAAATAGAATCCTAAATTATCTTTGACTTCATTTCGAATTATTTAATTTTCCATTTTTGTTTTTTTTTTAAGCGGCACCAAAGGCTGCGAACAGAAAATTTGATATAAAAGGAATGAGCAAAAACATGAATGCTACTCAATAGTAAACAATATTCTTATTTTAAGGTCAAAGATAGAAAAATTATTACCCACGAATAAAAAATTATATGACCGAATATGAAATTACAGTCGTCATATAATTCCAAAGCTGGAAATTTTAAACACAGGTGAAGTTACGAGGCATGTCCAAAAAGTAAGAATACTCAATTTTTTAAAAATCGAAACGGCACATCAAACACTATTTTTCGAAGTAGTCGCCTTCAAGATCAATGCACTTTGTGAGTTGAGGGATGAGCTTTCTGATATCTTCGTCAAAAAAATTATCGGGCCCATTATCTCACGGCACTGTGGACCCCATCGTCAGTAGAAAATCTTTTTCCAGCCATAAACACCTTCAGAGAAAAGAAATGATTAAAATCAGAAGGTGCCAGGTCAGGGCTGTGGGACCATCTCATCGGTCACGACTGAGGGAACCACTCCTTTGTTCATTATGGACACCCTTTCTGCCAGCTTTATACTCACGACATCTAATATCTACATTAGTACGATTCATCACACCATTCCCATGAACGGTTTTGGTTTCGTTAAAAATCTGGAACAGCGCCTTTCCATTTGCAAGAAGAAACCGGATTGTGCTCCTCACCTCGCAACTAGCGAGGCACTCATTTCAACATGCCACTACAACAACAGTTCTTAACTGGCTGAGTCAAACGAGCGCGCCCTTGAATGCAGTGTTGCCAACTTTGTCGAAAACAAAAACCATAGAGCATATCAGTACTCTTACTTTGTGAATGTGCCTCGTGTATATGACATTATTGGTCATTAGAATGTTCAACTTAGGTACTGGGTACTTGTAGCATTTTTATTGACAAAAAATGACAATTAGTTTGTCACATTTAAAATAAATCGAAAATAAGGAAAACTAATACAATTGTCACCTAAGTTCAGTTTTTAAGTATATTTCATTGGAATCAAATAGTATTTATCAGTTGTTTCGTAGAAATATATTTAAAAGTGTCAATGTCAGCCTGTTGTTTTGTTATCTTTTTTTCATCGTTCTCCGCTGTCCTTGAAAATAGCCCAATATAGTAACATAAAGTTATTATTATTCACTAAAATCTAAATAGTTATTCAATGTTTAAAATGTTTTCAATTTGTCAAAACATTCCTTTGTGACAGCGGTACCCTTTAAACATAACTTTTGCATATGGGTTTCTTAATTTTTAAGTAACGCGTTACTTTTTCGTACATCTCCAATGTATAATGACAACTTTTTAAAACTTTCTGGTGCCTATTTTATTATCCATTTTTTTCTGAAACAACCCGAGCTGCACTACGTTTATATTACTTTCAAACCCAAGTTTTGAACACTGACCATGTTTGACTTCAAAATATTCAAACTTACAGTTTCGGTAGTAGCATGTTCCAATGTATGTTTATAAATTTAGGTGCCTGTCACGCCGATGAATTTTCCTACCTTTTCAAAAACGGGTTTGCCCCTGAAGATATTGAACCCGAAAGTTCTGAGTATGTCGGAATACAACGGATGATCAAACTTTGGACAAATTTTGCAAAATATGGTAATCCTACACCAAGCAATAAGGATAAAGTACTCTCTACAATCTGGAAACCGCTTGAACCCCAACGATTTAACTATCTAAATATTGGGGAAGATTTAGAAATGAAAATCGACCCCGAAAGAAACGCTATGGATTTCTGGAACAACCTGTATAAAGAAACCTCTGTACCTAAAGCTAAACTATAATCATATTTTTTTATATATAATTTGATGTGCCGAAAAGTACTGTTTAAATAAAAAATTTCTGTGTCACTTTATTACTTTCTTTCTTTTAGAGTGATGACCAAAATTTTTATGTTCATATTTTTATGTGATTGTGATTTAAAATAAATTATTTTTTAATTATTTTGTTTATTCTTACCATGATCGAATGAATTCAAGAATTTCTCAGTAAAAAGTTCTACATGACGTATGTAGAACTTTTTACTTTTCAGAATATAGTATTTTGTTCTAGAATTTCTTCATCTATATAATAAAAATTTATAAAAAAAAATAGAAAAAAATCAATGTATCGACTTCTTTGGTCAAAAAGTAGGCTCTAATCATATCAACTGTTTCTTGATCCGTAAACATGCTTTTTCATATCACACAAAAAATTGTAAACACAAAATATACTGTGCCGTTACTAAACACTGAAATTATTAACTTTATAAGGTACTTACGCAACACAAATACACTTCACAAAGTAGAATAAAAATGTAATAGAATGAAGCGGTATTCGCTCAATCTCGTTTCGCAGAATTAAAGTAGTAGTTTATTTCCTATCCGTTTATCATCATTCTCTTCATATCCATACCAGGAGATGTGAAGTCAACTGGCAGTGATCGTTATTCAGAGGCTGTGCTGTTATTTTAGAATAATCTGAATAATAATTCTCTTAAATATTTTAGATAATTTAGGAAAAGGAAAATATGTTGTGTATTTATTTATTTTTTCTTTATAAAAAATATATAATGTTAAAATGATTATCAGTACAATTTAAAAAGATTTGAAAATAATAATTTGAGTTTCAAATGTTTTTCTAAATTTAATTTTAAAATGTAATTTTCTAATACCTTTTTACTAGCAATTTAACAGGTAAATAAAAAAAGCTGAAGTACGCCAAGGAATAATTTTATTTCCACATTCGTTTCTTTAATCTACAATTATAGCCATATTTTGGTCTTAGAGATATATCGCTACGGAGTTCTAAGTCAGGAACTTTTCCATCGGCCTCTATTTCATATCTTTGTAATACATTACATAGGAAGAGTTTTAATACAACGTTGGCTAACGTTTTACCTGAAAGAATGATCAGATCAAGTAAATTGAACACATTTTCTGAAAGATATACAGGGTGTCCGGAAATGATAAACAAAAAATTCAGGGGATAATTCTAGACCGAAAATAAATGCTACCTCTTTCTATAACATTTTTTCCAATACTGATTATTAACGGAGTTACAGGGTGTTAAAGTTAAATTTTATTTGCAGTTTTTTGCAATACCTTTTGCCACACTCATAATATTTTGACGAAATTTCGTATATGGGGGTTTTTCGGGATGAGGATTATACATTTGCCCACCGTTTTTTCGCATTTTGTAGAGGGTGCCACATACGAGCCTTTATTTTGATTTGAATGGTTCCAACTTTTTTGTGCTACACTTTATGCGAAATTTGACT